TCTAAACCCTAAAACCAAAACTCCAAAGGAAATGCTAGGAAAGAGAACTCGCACTAGCAAGGCTGCTGGGTTACCACACTGCAGCTTGCACCTGAACTGTACAGAATACAGTGTTGGGTAATATGGAGTTATATTGGGATAATGGAAAATGAAATGGAAACTGCAAGATATAGATTAAATATATACGTATGTATATTATAATGTAGGGTTATAATATTGCTTAGTACCAGTGGGCATTGGGGCCCACCACGCCCTGACAGAGGCCACAGGGCATCACATTCACAGTGTTAGAGTCGTGTCATATTGATATGCTAGCGCCATTGGTCTCGTGTTCGGCAGGTTCGAAAACCTAATAGTTACTCCAGGAATCTCGCTATTACTTTTCGGGTTCCTAGCCGTTCTGTTGCCTCGGCGCTTCCTGCTTTCTCGAGACGGCATGAGGGCCCAAGATTTGGACTCAAATGAGCTATAGTCTAAACTCCTAGTATACCCCTTAATAACCCCTATAGTAGTCCCCTATATAATCCCCTATATAATCCCCTGTATAACCCCCCCTTTAAGGAGTTTAGACTATAGCTCAAATGCTGAACTTCGAGCCAAAGCCCTCAAGGATCTCTAAACTCATGTCGGAAGGGACTTGGTCTCAAAACCCTGACCCCTAAACCCGACATTGCTCTGAACAAGGAGTGGATCCTCCCAGGCACTCCATAAATTGCTTCAATTTTCAGTGAATAAGGGTTTAGGATTTGTACCATGCCTCGGAACACATGTTCAGGAACATTCCCATCCAGGGGTATGGGGCTAGTTACCAGTCCCCGTCAATAAATAATCAGATAAATATGGAATTGCCCAATATCAGAATAAGGTCCCCATGTATCCCATATTCTATCTACTTAAGGGGGACGATACCCTAAACCCTAAACCCTAAGCCCTAATCCCTAAACTTACTCAAGCGGGACTATAGTGGGGCTTACTGGGATGATCTGTGGACGAAGTAAGTCTACCTACTATCCCTAATAACCATTATTATAAGCCCTATACATCCAGTTACGAAGCAGGCTTAATAAGTCAAGCCCTTCACGGAGGGTGTACAGCACCAGCATGGCTACAAGCCCACATCCCCAAGCCTGTCCCGGGCTGTTGAGCAGACGCTCGACCTTCAGGGCTCAGGGTCTCCGAGTTTAAGGCTTGGGGTTTCGCGTCATAGGGCTTAGGGTTATGGAGTTTGGGGTTTAGGGCTATAGAGTTTAGGGCTTAGGGTCTTAGATTTTAGGGTTGAGGGCTAAAGTTTTTTCGGTCTAGGAGAAGTTTGACTTTGAGGTTGTTTTGGGCCCCAGGGTTGCGGCAGAGGCCATCGGAGAAGGCATTTAAAAGTCTGCCCCAATATAACCCCAATACAACGCCAACGTAACCCCAATATAGCCCGACTATAGCCCCATGTAACCCGAGTCTAGCCCCAATATAGCCTACGGGACACGAATCTCGGGACTGCCTTCTGGTAGAACTCCAAAACGGACTGGCGCTACATTACATGAGGGAACACCTAGTTGTTCTTGGACGCAGGTTTGCTGCGCTGAAGAATGTAAGGGGTTTTAGTCCGGGCTTTAGGGTTTAGGGGCTGGGTTGAGTTTAGATGTTGAGTGTAGATGGACAATAAGCTGAAGGTTACACCTTGCGCAGAGCTTTCATGGGTTCTAGCGGGGCCCCCGCATTCACAGCCAAGTCATCATGGGTTCCCTACTACCCCCCAGTAAGGTTCCCCCCAAATATTACTTTCAGGGGGAAGCTGGGGGGGGGGGGGGTTGTGGTAGGGGAAGCCATGAACTAGAGAAGAGCTGACCAGGGCCCAAAGCAGGTGACAAGTCATGATAAGTATACCTAACCTAGGGCTATAAGCCATTTTAAAACCCCAGTTAACCCAATTATTTGACCTACTTACGAAGCCGCCCTGACCCCTACAAGTCGTGAAAAACGAGGATAACTTCTTTGAAGCAAAAGGCCGTCCTACTACCTCATGCATAACAATGACCTGATGGCTATTAACCAAAGTTTGAAACAGCCGACCATTTAGGGGAAGAGCCTGCTGCCCGTGCGAAGACAGGCACAAATGCCTGCCAGAGGCGGTGTCGGGCTTCGGGACTTATGCCTTGGGGTTCAGGGTTGGAGGCTTGTTGGCGGCTTTAGGTTTCCGTCTCCAAGGGGTCGGGGCAAAAGCAATGACAATCGGAAATTTCTTGATGTGCACCCCATGGTCTGCAAAATTTAGGTGTGCCTGAATAGACACCCCATGGTTGCAGTCAACATTCCCAACAAGTGCTTTTGTTTATACTCATCAGGTTCCTCTGATCAGTGCCGACAAAACCTGCGTGGAGATGCAAGCTAGCCTGGACGTAGATGAAGTGAGAGGCGGGTTACAGGCCATCCTTAGCAATGTCCAGACGCCTGTGCAAGTAGCCATAGTGGCAAGCATGGGCCTGAGGAGAAACTCAAAAAGAATTCAATGCATGTTGGATTTGGTTGATCAGGACACGCGTGGCCTGCTTTGAGGTTGGTATTGAGCCAACAAAAATTTGTTTAATCGATGACTGTACGATACACGGCCTCAATAGCACGATAGGCTTTCGTGAGCGCTTTGAACTGTCACTTCAGGTCAGTACTCAGGTCCCGACGAAATGTTCGACAAATCTTACCAGCTTGAAACTTCAGCACTTCGACCACCTGAAGCCCAAAGCCCTGAACTCACGGTGCCTGTGCCGGTGTCGCAGGAAGCTCTTTAGCGTCCTTCGAGCTGTCTTTCTCTTTCTGGGCCGCTGCTATTGCTGCCTGAACGACATCAGCCTACAGTCCCCCTTAAGTAGATAGCATGTGGGTAATCCCCTTAGGTAGATGGAATATGGCC